GGGTCTGGGTCGGCAGGGGCTGCGGGTCGGCAGTGAGGGGCACCGGCAGGGCTGGGCTGACAGGGGCTGCGGGTCGGCAGTGAGGGGCACCGGCAGGGCTGGGTTGGCAGGGGCTGCGGGTTGGGAGTGAGGGGCACCGGCAGGGCTGGGTTAGCAGGGGCTGCGGGTCGGCAGTGAGGGGCACCGGCAGGGCTGGGCTGACAGGGGCTGCGGGTCGGCAGTGAGGGGCACCGGCAGGGCTGGGCTAGCAGGGGCTGTGGGTCGGCAGTGAGGGGCACCGGCAGGGCTGGGTTAGCAGGGGCTGCGGGTCGGCAGTGAGGGGCACCGGCAGGGTGGAGGGGAAAACAATGTTGCTCTGACTGTTCTTGCCTGGCCCGGTGTCGGCTGGCGGCTGAAGGGGCGGATCCGGGGTCAAGGGGCTGCGGGGCTGCGGCCCCCCAGAAACTGAGTGACTCTGCTCCCCTCCCCCGACATACTGCTGGAGCTGGGGTCCCCTGGCCCCTCGGCTGCGCTGTGGGGTCATTGGCCCTGGGAGACCCTCTCCCATCTCCTCGAACCATCCCTCCCATTCCTCCCCACTCCACTCACCACCCGCCCCCCCTGCTCCTTCTCTCCCCAGGCTGGGACCTCCTTCCCTCATCACTGCTGGGAGCCATGACTGCCCCGGACTCCTGGGTCCCCTTCCGGCTGGTCCTTCAGCTCAGCCTCTACCTGCTGACCATCATGACCCTCTCCACCTTCCTCCACCTAAGCAGCCGGTTCCCCTCCGCATGGCAGCGGCTCCCCTCCCCGAACACAACAAAGGGGTCCCCAGCTACGTCCCCCACCACAACGCCCCCAACAGAGCGGGGCATGTGGACCGTGAACTCCATCGGGCGCCTGGGGAACCAGATGGGGGAATACGCCACCCTCTACGCCCTGGCCAAGATGAACGGGCGCCAGGCCTACATCCTCCCGGAGATGCACCGGCAGCTGGCGCCGCTCTTCCGCATCACCCTGCCCGTGGTCTCCAGCGACGTGGTCCGGAGCGTCCGGTGGAGGAATTACGGGCTCCACGACTGGATGTCGGAGGAGTACAGGCACATCAAGGGGAAATACGTCCGGCTGACGGGCTACCCCTGCTCCTGGACCTTCTACCACCACCTCCGGCAGGAGATCCTCCAGGAATTCTCCTTCCACGACCACGTCAAGGAGGAGGCCAACCAGTACCTGGCCGGGCTGCGTGGGCAGCGCCGGAACGTGACCTACGTGGGCGTCCACGTCCGGAGGGGGGATTACGTCCGGGTGATGCCACAGATCTGGAAGGGGGTGGTGGCGGACAAGGCCTACCTGGAGAAGGCCATGGGCTACTTCCGGGACAAGTACAAGGAGCCGGTCTTTGTGGTGACCAGCAACGGGATGGAGTGGTGCCGGGAGAACATCAACGCCTCGCAGGGGGATGTGTATTTCTCAGGGGACGGGAAGGAGTCGTCGCCGGGGAGGGACTTTGCTCTCTTGGCCCATTGCAACCATACGATCATGACCATCGGGACCTTCGGCATTTGGGTCGGCTACCTGGTCGGTGGGGAGACTGTCTACTTGGCCAACTACACCCTGCCCGATTCCCCCTTCCTCCGGCTCTTCAAGCCTGAGGCCGCCTTCCTGCCCGAGTGGATTGGGATCAACGCCGATCTCTCCCCACTGCGGGGTGGGACATAGGGGCAGATAGGATCCAGCCTGCAGGCCACCAGCAGGATCAGTGGGCCAGCCCCCAGCTGGGGTAGGCAGTCCTGGGGAGTTTAGGGGGCATCAGCATGGACCTTGGTCAAGCACGGGGGGGAGGGGAGAATCAAGACAATGTGGGTTGGTTCTGCCAACCTTCTCCTAGGAGTCACCAAATGGGTCCATCATGAGGTTGAATGGTTAAAACTTGCTCCTCGGCCAGCTCTTTTAAAACTCTTGGCTGTAAGTTATTTGGACCTGCTGATTTTAAGATGTCTCACTTTGATAGCTGCTGTTCAGCCACCTCCTGAGATAGGAGCAGAATGGAAAGAGCATTATCGTCACCATCTGATATGGCATCATCTGTTTTTTCCTCCCAAACACAAAACAAAAATATTTATTGAACAATTCTGCCTTTTCTGCATTATTGATAATTCTACCATTTCCATCTAAAATGGACCAATAGCATTGTCAGGATTCCTTTTGTTCCTAATATACATTAAAAAAACCCAGCCTCCTTATTGTCCTCAACACTGCAGGCCATAGAATGTTCTGTGTGTCCCTTTGCTTCCCTTATCAATTTTCTACCACCCCTATCTTCTGGTTTATATGCTGTCCATTTCCCCCATCCTTCCATTTGTTATTGCTGCTTTCACTTCCCCTCTAAACCAGATCAGTCTGTGACCAGTATGGCCTTCCTCCTCAAGTGTGGAATAGTGGCTATCTGGGCACCTAGTCAGGTGTTTGGTAAACAATCCCCAATCAATAGCCACATGGGTCTGATTAAATTCTTCCTCCAGGCTGCTTCGGTTCCTAATTCTTTTCAGCTTGGTGAAACTGACCCTTTGGAAAAAGCAGAGAAGGCTGGGCGCCAGGACTCCTGGGTTCTACCCCCGGCTGAGTGGGGCAGGTTCAGCAGGGCTCTGTGGGTGGGCACATTCTTGGGCTATAAACTGGCCCCAGTGTGTGCGTGGCACAGGGCTGTAAAGCCAGAACTGCTAGGCAAAGGATGGGCTTTTACAAGCAACAATAAAATCGGACTCACAAGGCCCCGCCCTTCCGCCAGCACCCCACTGAATACTGCCCTTCCCTGTCTGCCAAGGAGAGAACCCAGGAGTCCTGGCTCCCGGCCCCCACTCCCCCACTGTAAGCACTTGCTCCTGGGCCAGGAGGAATGGGGGGGGGGCAGGTGGAGCCCAACCCTGGGGGGAATTTACCTCCACCCCCCATGGGATTGATACACAGTTCTGCAGCTGTGACCCATTAGCGCCCTCCTCCCACCTGGAAGAACGCAGGCGTCCAGTCTCCCTCTGCCTTGGCAGGGCCAACCCTGAGCCCCAAGGGCTTGGGGGTGGTGGGGGTGGCTGAATCTGGGGGGGGGGAGCAGAGTGGGGGGGATCTCTCTGTCTATCACCAACACAAGCCACGTGGGAGGTTTGGGGCCAGCCAGGCAGGAAGGCGAGCCCCCCCCCCCCCCGCCCGTTTGTAACGCCCAGGCTCTGTGGCTGCCATGGGCCCCATGCTGGAGCAGGGGAGGCCAGGGGAAGGGACACCGTCTCTAACCACTCAACCCAGCTGCCGAGCGGCGGCCAATCCACCCCGGCTGGGGGCCCCTCCTCCAGGTTTCGTGGCCTCTGCAAACTTGATCTGTGAGGCTTGAATATTTTCTTCCGCATCATTGACATGAACGAGCTCAGAGTCCAGAACCGACCCCTGCGGGACCCGCCCCCCGGAAACGCACCCCCTCCCCGCCCCCGCTCGAAGGCGCGTCTTCATGTGCAGGTGCATTCTGAGACCTATCAGTTGGGCGGCTGTGACTCCATTTAACACGCTCATTTCCTAGCATGCCTGTTAATCAGTCACCAGCTCTCGCGCCTTGCCGACGTCGACAGATGTGACACCAACCCTGTGACCTTCCTCCACTGAACGTGCGACCACAGCGAAAGAGGCTGGCAAGTTAGTGTGACGGGGTCTAGTTTCCATAATCCCACGCTGGTGAACGATGGCGCCCTCCTTTCATTCTTGATCAATCGAGTCCCGTATCAGCCGCCCCATTATCTTCCCCGGGATCGAGGTCAGGCTGACAGGCCCATAATTACTCGGGTCGTCCCATTTACCCGTTTTAAAACTTGGCACAACGTGAGCTTTCTTCTGGACCTGCTGCAGGACAAAATCAACAATGCCATCAATTCCTTAGCCAGCTCTTTTCAAACTCTTCCATGCCTATCACTGCGCCCTGCTGATATTAAAATGACTCACTCTTGTAGCTGCTGTTTGACATCCACCTGAGCAACTAGTGGAATGGAAAGTGTGTTATCATCATATGCTATGACAACGTCATCTGTTTTTTTCCCCAGACACAGAACTATTTATTGAAAAATTCTACCTTGTCTGCAGTATTGAAAATTCTACCATTTCCATCTAAACGAGATCAATACCATTCTCAGGATTCTTTTTTGTTCCTAATATACATTTAAAAAAAAATATGGTATGGTCTTTAACTCTGCTTGCCACAGATGTCTCCTTGTGTCCCTTTGCTTCCCTTATCAATTTTCTACAATCCCTAGTTTTTGATTTATATATTACTATCTACTGCCCCTTTCTTCCATTTGTTATTTATTATTTTTATAGCTGGCTTTCCTTCACTTCACTTCTAATCCTGACTCACGGCTCCCCTGTTCTAACAGTTCAACCTAGGAACAAGATGGCCCCTTTTGAGGAATCCTAGGAGAAAGTTGGCAGAAGGGAGCCAGGTTGTCTTGACCCCACCCCATGCCTGACCAACATCTACTCCGATACACCCTGAACTCTCCAGCGCCCTCTTCCCTCACTGATGGCTGGCCCCCTATTCCTCCAGGTCCTGTTGATAGCCTGTGGGCCGGGTCTTTTCTGCCTCTGTGTCCCATTCAGCAGCGGGGAGAGATCGGTGTCAATCCCGATCCACTTGGGCAGGAAGGCTGCCGAAGGCTTGAGGAACCACTGGTAGGGGGAATCGGGGAGCATGTAGTTGGCCAAATAGATGGTCTAACCCCCCAGCCAGGTAGCTGGCCCAGATGCTGAAGCTCCAGATGGTCATGATCGTGTGGTTGCAATGGACCAAGAAAGCGAAATACCTCCCCGGCGACGACCCTTCCTGTCCCCCGAGAAATACACGTCCCCCCGCGAGGCGTCGATGTTCTCCCGGCACCACTCCATCCCGTTGCTGGTCACCACGAAGACCGGCTCCTGGTACTTGGCCCGGAAGTAGTCCATGGCCTTCTCCAGGTAGGCTTTGTCCGCCACCTCCCCCTTCCAGACCTGGGGCATCAACCGGATGTAATCCCCCCTCCGGATGTGGACGCCCACGTAGGTCACGTTCTGGCGCTGCCCACGCAGCCCAGCCAGGTACCGGTTGGCCTCCTCCTTCATGTGGTCGTGGAAGGAGAATTCCTGGAGGATCTCCTGCCGGAGGTGGTGGTAGAAGGTCCAGGAACAGGGGTAGCCCGTCAGCCAGACGTATTTCCCCTCAATGTGCCTGTACTCCTCTGACATCCAATTGTGGAGCGCGCAATTCCTCCACAGGACGCTCCGGACCATGTCGCCGGGGATCACGGGCAGGGTGATGCGGAAGAGCGGCGCCAGCTGTTGGTGCATCTCTGGGAGGATGTAGGCCTGGTGCCCGTTCATCTTGGCCAGGACGTAGAGGGTGGCGTATTCCCGCATCTGGTTCCCCGGGCGCCCAGCGGAGTTCACAGTCCACATGCCCTGCTCCGTGGGGCAGGATGGGAGACATGGCTGGGGGCGGCCCCATGGCATTGAAGGAGGGGAGCCTCCGTCCTTGGGCAGGAAACCACACCCTCCAGTGGAGGAATATGGAAAGGGTCATGATGGCCAGCAGGAAGATGGAGAGCCAGAGGGGTGGTCAGAAGGCGACCCAGGAGACCAGGGCAGTCATGGCCGAGGTGAGGGAAGGAGGTTTCGGCCTGGGGAGAGATGGGGTGGGGAGAAGCTGGGGATCAGCACAGGAGGGGTCTTCCAGGCCTGAGTCCTGCTGTTCCCAGGGTCCCAACTCAGCTGCCTCTGCGTCCCCCGATCCCAGCTCTGCCGGTGCCCCTCACTCCCGACCCGCAGCCCCCTGCTAGCCCCGCCCTGGCCCCTCCCCAGCTCTGCCGGTGCCCCTCACTCCCGACCCGCAGCCCCCTCCAAGCCCAGCCCTGGGTTAGTGCAGGAGCTGGAGTTCAAGGCCGAGGGGGCAATTTCCGCTTCCTTTACGGATCAAAGCAGAGGAAAAGCAAACCCTAAAAATTCCTCCTTGGAGTCAGGACAATCACTGGGGCCCAGATGACCCTGACAAGGGTTGGGCGAGTCCCAGCCCTGCTGCTCCCACCACTACAGCCCACTCCCCTCCCAGGGCCGGGGGAGAACCCAGGAGTCCTGGCTCCCAGCCCCCCTGTTCTAACCACTAGACCCCACTCCCCTCCCAGAGCCGGGGGAGAACCCAGGAGTCCTGGCTCCCAGCCCCCCTGTTCTAACCACTAGACACCACTCCCCTCCCAGAGCCGGGGGGAGAACCCAGGAGTCCTGGCTCCCAGCCAGGCTAGTGTCTCTATCTCGTCCCTTCCAGCTAGTATAAGAGTCTGGTCAGAAACAGGCCTCGACCAGCCCACCTAGGGCAGGAAAAGGGTCGTGGGGGTCGATCACAGGGGCTGGGAGCCAGGACTCCTGGGTTCTCCCCCGGCCCTGGGAGGGGAGTGGGCTGTAGTGGTGGGAGCAGCAGGGCTGGGACTCGCCCAACCCATGTCAGGGTCATCTGGGCCCCAGTGATTGTCCTGACTCCAAGGAGGAATTTTTAGGGTTTGCTTTTCCTCTGCTTTGATCCGTAAAGGAAGCGGAAATTGCCCCCTCGGCCTTGAACTCCAGCTCCTGCACTGACCCAGGGCTGGGCTTGGAGAGGGCTGCGGGTCGGGGTCGGGAGTGAGGGGCACCGGCAGAGCTGGGATCGGGGGACGCAGAGGCAGCTGAGTTGGGACCCTGGGAACAGCAGGACTCAGGCCTGGAAGTGCCCTCCTGTGCTGATCCACCGCTGCGCCCCGCCCCCGCTTTCCCCAGGCCGAACCCTCCTT